CATGGCGGTGCGTAGTTCCAGTTCCTCCTGAGCCATGCTCAGGTCCTTCCGCTGGTCACCCTGCAATGACAGGATTCAGGATCTAGAATCCCTAAACCCTCAAACCCAAACCCTAAGGCCTGTAAACCCTCGAATCCCTAAACCCCAAACCCTAGACCCTCTAAACCCTAGAACCCCTAAACCCTAAACCCTAAATCCTGTAAACTCTGGAACCTAAACCCCTCCAACAAAAACTAGAATCCCTAAACCCTTAACCCTTAACCCTAAACCCTAAACCCTAAACCCTAAACCCTAAACCCCTCCAAAAAGACTCACCTGAAACCAGGCCATGTGGACCCCAAGGACTCAGCCCCTCAGCCCCAACACCCAAGGCCAAACAAAAAGCTTCCTCAGGGTTTAGGGTTTAGGGTTAGGGTTTAGGGTTTAGGGTTTAGGGTTTAGGGTTTAGGGTTTAGGGTTTAGGGTTTAGGGTTTAGGGTTTAGGGTTTAGGGTTTAGGGTTTAGGGTTTTAACCCTAAACCCTCCAAGAGCCCAGTCTTGCCTCGGCTCTGGTGGCTGACCACGAAGACCGCAGAATTATCTCAGCATTCGGCTTGACGGGTTAGGGTTTGGGATTTAGGGTTTAGGGCTAGGGTTTAGGGATCAGGGTTTAGGGTTTTGGGTTTCAGGTTTAGGGTTTGGGGTTTGGGGTCTGGGGTTTGGGTTTATAGGGTTTAGAGGTTGAGGATGAGCTGGGTGGCAAAAAAAACATCTGGAAAGGCCGTTGCCAACACACTGGGGCAACGACATATCATATGTGAATATACACATGTATGAATATATATATATATATATACATATATACATACATATATACATACATACATACATACATACATACATACATACATACATACATACATACATACATACATACATACATACATACATACATACATACATACATACATACATACATACATACACATTTTTATTTCATGGAGAGAGATCACACGGAGGAGGAAAATATGAAACAACAAAGGAAGAGACACAGAGAGAGAGAGAGAGAGGAGAGATAAGACAAAAACAGAAACAACAAAATGGAAGGAACAATGATGCGGGCTCTTACCCTCAAGCCTTCTTAACAATCGGACCCTTCTTCACGAAAACCTGAACCCTTGGCCCCTAAACCCTAAACCCGAAATGATCCTGTCAAGCCTCCCCCGCCCTCAACCCAAAAATCCCTAACCCCCTTAGTCCGCAAGCATTGAATCATACCAACCTTCATCCCTTCCTGAACCCCTTGACACAACAAACCCTAAAGCATATCAACTCGGAGTCCTATAGAAACTGAACCACGAAAACCCTGACCCTATTCGAATTCAACAGCCCTAAACCCTGAACCCTAACCCCTAAACCCCTAACCCCTAAACCCCGAACCCTCAACCCCAAACCACATCCTCAGGTCAAGCTACCACTGCTGATGGTGAAGCTATAGGCAGACGCCTGCAGCTGCTGCTGAAGTGCGCGAAACGCCTGAAGGTTCGGTTAGGGTTGAGGGTTGAGGATTGAGGGTTGACGGTTGAGGGCTGAGGATTGAGGGTTGAGGGCTGAGGGTTTAGGGGCCTTCAGAATTAGAATAGGGTTCTGGGGGCTATTATAGTATGATTCTGGTATAATACAAAGTGGCCATAAGGGAAGACCATTAGAAATTACTCCGACCCCTATATACCAGTTAGAAGAAAGTCCCTTCTTTGAGGGAGCTTTGGGTCTAAGGTTCCGGGTTAAAGGGTCCTTACTACAAGCTTGATACTGAGGGCCTAGAGGCAGAATTAACAGGAGCATGCCCACGCGAAGATGTGATTTTAAGCATTTAGGCACTCGCGCCTCGCGGCATTCGCGGCTGACGACAGGTAAGGAGATGTCTGCTGCGACGACGCCCTGGTGGCAGGCTAGGGTTTAGGGTTTAGGGTTTGGGGTTTAGGGTTTCGGGTTTAGGGTTTGGGGTTTAGGGTTTAGGGTTTGGAGTCTGGGGTCTGGGGTTTGGGGTCTGGGGTTTGGGGTTTCGGGTTTCTGTCAAGAACCTGAGTCCTACAGGCAGTGCGCACCTACTGGACGAAGCAGAATTCAGGGACTTCCGGCCGAAATCTCAAATCCTAAACCCTAAAACCCTAAACCCCACACTTAACTTGAGCACTAATTCATACACCCCACACCGTAAACCAAACCCCGAACCCTAAACCCTAAACCGTCAAGGAGCATGCTGAGACAATTAACCCCAGACCCTCAACCCTCAACCCTAAACCCAAAAAACCCTCAACCTTTAAACCCGCAACCCTAAACCCTCAACTCTAAACCCTAAACCCTCAACCCTCAACCCTCAACCCTAAACCCTAAACCCTAAACCCTAAACCCCAAAACTGCTCTTTTGTGGGCACCTCGGACCCTAAGGTTCCTGCGACTCCGGGGGGGAGGGGGGGGAGGCTGCGGCTTCGTGTCTCTTGCTTTTTTGGGGGAGTGGGGTTTAGGGTTTAGGGTTTAGGGTTTAGGGTTTAGGGTTTAGGGTTTAGGGTTTAGGGTTTAGGGTTTAGGGCTCTATCATGTTTCTATCTCCTGCTAGGTTCTGCTTGGTAGTTGGGGCCAAGTCTGCCTTATTCCTGAGAGGATTAATGCCTTATTTTTTGGAGGATCTATGCCCTATTTCTGGCAGATTATGCCTTGCTTCTCGGTGGATTTATCTTGTTTCGCGGAGGATGTACGTCTTATTTCTTGGAGGACTTGTGCCACTTCCTCTTAAGTAAGGCATAAATCAAAGATCCTGCAAGAAACACAGCGCACACCTCCGAGATAAGGATGAATCTCCTGAGAAATGAGGCATAAGTCCTCCGAGAAATAAGGCACAAATCCCCCCATAAGTGGGAGAAACATAAGGCAGAAATCCAGCCGAAATACAACAAACATAAGGTGTGACCACGGTATAAAAACAAAACGCGCTATGGAGCACCTCCACGGTTTAGGTTTTAGGGTTTTGGGTTTAGGGTTTAGGGTTAGGGATTTAGGGTTTCGGTTTAGGAATAGGGTTCAGGGTTTGGGGGTAATGAGGATCGAGGGCTTGTAAAGGCTTAGGGTTTTTGGCGCTTCGGCCTGGCCTGAAAGCAGGAGTAGTTTCCGCAAAAAGCCACAGGGGCTGTTTTGGTGAATCCCAGTGTGCCATCCATGAACACATAGAGGCCAGACCACCTGAGGGGGTGCTAAACCGGAACCTCAAAAAGTTACGAGCAGAGAGTTTGCAGAGGCTTTGCTGAGGGCTTTCTGAGTTTATACAGGATTTAAACACCCTAAACCCTAAACCTTCTAAACCCTAAACCCGAAGCCCTAAACCCTAAACCCTAAACCCTAAACCCTAAACCCTAAACCCTAAACCCTAAACCCTAAACCCTAAACCCTAAACCCTAAACCCTAAACCCTAAACCCTAAACCCTAACCATCTTTGGGGACTGAGTGAGGACGGAGGCCGACATTCCCATGGAGCCCTTCAGGGCTGCTTTGGCCCGAGCTTTGGACTTGGTCGCGCTACCCATGGGTTTCGGGTTGGAGCTTCTAAGGCGGCAAGTGTTTAGGGTTTAGGGTTTAGGGTTTAGGGTCTAGGGTCTAGGGTCTAGGGTTTAGGGTTTAGGGTTTAGGGTTTAGGGTCTGGGGTTTAGGGCTTAGGGTATAGGGTTTCGGGTTTCTGGTTTAAGGCTCAGGGTTTTATTGCGGGTGTTCAGCTGCCAAGTGAAGGCCTCGTTGTGTCAGGGCATGGCCTTGGAGGCTCTGGGATGCGCTGGGGCCAAGTTTGTATACGCAGACCCACTTGGAACTTTCCACCCTAAACCCGAAACCCTGAACCCTGAACCCTAAACCCTAAACCCTGAACCCTGAACCCTGAACCCTGAACCCTAAACACCACTGGGAAACTGCCACCTTCTGTAAGGGCCCAAGGTACAAATCCTATGCCCCTTGTCCCCCAAGCTGCGCTCCAAAGAAAAAGACAAGAACAAATCGATATGCCCCTAACTCGCTAAACCCTAACTGTCCGGAAAACTAGCCCGAAATCCTAAACCCTAAACCCTAACCCCTAACCCCTAAACCCTCAACCCTAAATCAGCTGCGCGGCATCCTTTTCAATGCCCCGGCACTCAGAAGAGCCTCGCCTTGGCGTTGCGAGTTTAGGGTTTAAGCCAGGATGGGCTTCGAGTTTAGGGTGTAGGGATTAGGGTTTAGTTTAGGGTTTAGGGTTTAGGGTTTAGGGTTTAGGGTTTAGGGTTTAGGGTCTAGGGTCTAGGGTCTAGGGTCTAGGGTCTAGGGTCTAGGGTCTAGGGTCTAGGGTTCAGGGCTTAGGGTTTAGGGCTTAGGGTGTAAGGTTTAGGGTTTAGGGTTGAGGGTTTAGGGCCCCATCATCCCCATAATCAACCCTAAAAAAGAGGGCCGTGTTGAGGGGTTATGGGGTACAATAGCCCGTCCTGGAGGTGTGCATCAGTGTATGCTTGGGGGGGATCGCGCTTCTTTGTGATTCTTCATTGCCGGTTTCAGGTTCAGGGTTAGGGTTTAGCACGCGCGCTTGCCTCGCTTAGTAGCCCCACGCCCCAACCGAAGCCATTCCATCTTAGGGTCTTCCTCGCCTAAACCCTCAACCCTAAACCCTAGACCCTAGACCCTAAACCCTAAACCCTAAACCCTGAACCCCCCCCGAACAACGGGGGGAATCCTTGTAGTTCTTCTCTCAACTTGCTCGCTGCTCCGGCTCCATCTTCTATATGCTTCTAGGCTCTGACCTGTGGTGGAGGACTCGTAGGGTCCCAGGCAGGTTCCAGGACGTGGGGTCCCAGGAGGGTCCCAAAAACCCTAAACCGTAAACTCTAAACCCTAAACCCTAAACCCCTAACCCCTAACCCCTAACCCTAAACCCTAAACCCTAACTGCCTCAACTCTGCAACCTAAACCCTGAACAATGAAGCCTAAATCGAACAAAGGCCGCGCGTTCAACAGCCAGGCCCCCGGCGCGACTGAAGGGTGAACCACGGCCGATGTGTGGGAAACTCTTCGCTGCATTGAGGTTCCTGGGCACTCGATGCTTTAGTGCTTCGGGCCCCTAAGCCCCATCTACCCCTAAACCCTAAACCCTAAAACCTAGGCCCTAAACCCCTAACCCCTAACCCCTAACCCCTAAACCCTAAACCCTAAACCCTAAACCCTAAACCCTAAGGGATCGAAGTCGGTGTAGACAGCAGGATCAAGGACCCTCTGGGCTTGGCTTTAGGACGGGTTCGGTCAACCCAAGGCCTAAACCCCAAACCCCGCCCGTTTGACTCCGCAGGTATGGCAAGTAAGGTGGGTTATGGCGATTATGATAGGGCTTCAAGGGGATATTACGTAGACCATGTCAAACGAGCTTCCATGTAGAGCCCAAACTAGACCCTAAACCCCCAAGCACACAACCCTGCACCCTACAGTAGCCTACGAATTGCTTAAGAACTCCGGAGAAAATAACAACACTCTTGCGTATAAGGGTAATATAGGGATTATTGCTTCTTTGTTTTTTCAGGGGCTCTTAAGCAAGCAGTAGTAACGGCGCCAAAGCCAGGTTTGGAATTCCAAGTGTCTTTCCGCACCACATTCTTCTGCTCGAAGTGATCCTGCCGCTCCCCCACAGGGCCATGCCGTGACCTACCACCTTATCCCCTACAAACGAATAGGTTTAGGGTTTAGGGTTTAGGGTTTAGGGTTTCGGGTTTCGGGTTTCGGGTTTCGGGCTTAGGGTTTAGGGTTTATGGTTTAGGGTTCAGCCCAACCCTTAAACCCCTCGCAAATCCTGCAAAAAAATCAACCTTCGTCCCTCCACCGTGAGCACTTCACTGTAGATACTCCACCCGAAACCCCCAACCCACAACCCGAAGTCCCTAAGCCTTAGAGCCTACCTAGAGAAACCTTGTACCTAAACAAGGGTAACCAGGACGGGCCATTATACCCTGCAACCGCTTAAAATGGCCCTTTATAGGGTTGATTATGGGGATCCTGGGGCCTTAAACCCTAAACCCTAAGCAGCCCTAAACCCTAAACCCTAAACATAGGGCCTAATAGCCCATCCTGGAAATGAAGCCTCAAGAGTTCATTTGGTCCCCGGGTCCCAATGCCCTGGACTAAAATCATAGCTGCTAAGTTGCATAGGGGATTTGTGTAATTCATTTCTTTGCAAAGGTGCCTCTCTAGGAAGAAAAGAAACCAAGGGCTAGCTGGTGTATGGGCTGAGGGTCGATCAAATTCCTTACGCCTCTTTCATGGCAAACTTGCTTTCAGACAGCAAGCGCATGCACGCGCCAGACTGCAGGCAGTATGAGGGCATGAGCACCTCCCGCTGTCCAAAATCTGAACCCTACACACCCTCAAACCATGTTCTGCTTACGAGCATCTAGCTCAGCATCGATGCTCTTCCTGTTTTTCTTTCTGGACCCTGTCTCAGGCCGTGTAGGGTTTGGGGCTTTGCCAGAGGCTCCGCTTGTAGTACTATCATGGACCACCTAGGTAACAAGAAAGGACCTAGTCAGCGTGGTTGTTAGTATCTAAGTCCACGTACTGCGAGGTGGACAACACGAAGCCCTAAGGGTTTAGGGTGTAGGGTTTAGGGTTTCATGGAAAAACACGGTAGTCCTTGAACGCGTTGTCCACACGATAGGGGCAATCATACCAGCCCGCTACCTGGATGTGCAGGTCAGGGTTTAAGGGATTCCCCTAAACCCTAAACCCTAAACCCTAAACCCTAAACCCTAAACCCTAAACCCTAAACCCCAAGAAACCTCGGCACGAAACAGAGGGCATTCTTTGATGCGTAGTGCAGTGCAGAATGGTAGCATAGTCCATGAACAAAACAAAGATATGGACGTTTACGATATTGTGAAGGGGGGGGGGGGGGTTACCTTATTGGGGGCCTTGTTTTAAGGGATCCTACTATTGGGGGCATAGCCTAAACCCTAAACCCTAAACCCTAAACTTTAAACCCTAAACCCTAAACCCTAAACCCTAAATCCTAAACCCTAAACCCTAAATCCTAAACCCTAAACCCTAAACCCTAAGCAAGAAACCCTAAACCCTAAACCTGGAAGGGTCCCCTATTTTCGTAAAACACCCAGATTGCTTTTCAATGAGGGACTCTGGGCCCTGGCTCGAGGCCAATGTAAAGCATGAAAAAGGTCCTTAACAGGTTGCGGCACACTTCAGTGCTTTAGGGTTTAGGGTTTTGGGGTACACAATATAGGGGCCTTGATACTTAGAATAGGTTTTCTCTTTTTTTTTTTTTTTTTTTTTGGGGGGGGGGGGGGGGGGGTTATTGCAGTTTGATTGCAGAGGGACCATGAGGGAAAACTTTTGGTAGTGTCTGGGACCCCGATTATACCTTCTGCTGCAGAGTACTTCAGTACTCCGGGGCGTGCAACATTCCCAAGCTAACCTGCTTACTTGGACAAGCAAGTAGAAAGACATGTATTTGCACTCAGCATACATGATGAACAAAAAACGAACTGTGCACAAATGGCCACTTCACATTCGTTCAGTACTGGTAGTCAGAGGTAGACATCAGCAACCAAGCAAGCTGAACACGCCCAACCCTAAACCCTAAACGCTAAACCCTAAATCCCTAAAACCTAAACCCTAAACCCTAAACCCTATAAACCCTAAACCCTAAGCTGCAGGCAACTGGCTGTGTCGGTGCAGTTGCTATCCGCACAGGCCAAGGACGCCCCTGCGAATTCCCCACCTCATCAGCTGAAGCTTCGGTCACAGGGATAGGGTTTAGGGTTTAGGGTTTAGGGTCAGGGTTTAGGGTTTAGGGGGTTTTAGGGTTTAGGGTTTAGGGTTTAGGGTTTACGGTTTAGGGTTTAGGGTTTAGGGGGTTTAGGGTTTAGAGTTTAGGGTTTAGGGTTTAGGGTTTAGGGTTTAGGGTTTAGGGTTTAGGGTTTAGGGTCTAGGGTCTAGGGTCTAGTTTCGGCTGCTGGAGGGTCTGAACACCCCCCCCCCCCCCCAAGGCCCTTCTACGAAATGAACAGAAAGCATCAGGGACATAACTTTGGGCTTGCGCGCACGGCTCCTGTTGTTGAATCCATATACTATCTAACTTAACCCAAGCCCAAAAAACCTAAACTCTTCACCCTAAACCCTAGACCCCAGACCCTAGCCTAGGTAACTTATAACCTTGAGCTCCATAACCCTAAACCCTAAACCCCAAACCCTGGTAGCTGCGACTCGGAACCTGGCAGGAGCGGCTTTTCGGTTTCAAAGTCGTAGACGCTCAGACAGTCTCGCTCAATGTCGGGGCCCTCAAAAACCCGTTTGCCACAAGGATCAGGGTTTAAGGTTTAGGCTTTGGGGTTTAGGGTTTAGGGTCTAGGGTTTCGGGTTTCGGGTTTAGGGCTGCACAAGCACAAGCCTTGCTCCCATGATTTCCGGGCCCACAATCGACACCCATCAGCCAAGAAGCCTTCGGCCCGAAACCCTGAATCTTAATCCCAAAAACCTTACACACCCTAAACCCAAATCATTGAACCCTGAACCCTAACCCATGTAAACCTGGAAGAAACCCTCAACCCTGAACCCTAAACCCTAAACCCTAAACCCGAAACCCTAAACCCTAAACCCTAAACCCGAAACCCTAAACCCTCAGCCCTTCCAGGGCTTCCCAAGCGCCCTCAACAACCTCGACAAGGCCCCCCGACTCGTGAAGCCCACGTAGATGACCTCCGCCATGCCACTTCCTTCTCGAAGAAGCAAGGGGGAAAAGCGGTTCGGGTTTAGGGTTTAGGGTTTAGGGTTTAGGGTTTAGGGTTTAGGGTTTAGGGTTTAGGGTTTAGGGTTTAGGGTTTAGGGTTTAGGGTTTAGGGTTTACGGTTTAGGGTTTAGGGTTTAGGGTTTAGGTTTTAGACTTTAATATTCCTTCTACGTAAGGACACCCAAAAAGCTTAAAGTTCAACTAAAGGCGAAGGAAGCTTCCTAAGGGACCGTCTCGCAGTATGGGATCCTCAAAGGGGGTTTAAGGGTATTGGGGTTTTAGGGTTTGAGGTTTAGGGTTTAGGGTTTAGGGTTTAATTAGGGTTTAGGGTTTAGGGTTTAGGGCTTAGGGTTTAGGGTTCAGGGTTTAGGGAGGCTAGGGAGGGTTTCCTGGGGCAGGGATCGCCTGTGCTAAGAGCCCCAGGCACCAAGGAAAGCACATCTACATCCCCCCCTCGTCTCGGCCGAAGTTCTGTAACCCTAAACCCTAAACCCTAAACCCTAAACCCTAAACCCTAAACCCTGAACCCTGAACCCTGAACCCTGAACCCTGAACCCTGAACCCTGAACCCTGAACATAAAGCTTCAAAGCGATTCTAGGGATGAGGGCTCTGGGTCAGGGTATGGCATGGTGGTGGAGCAAACTCCTACGGCTAGCGGTTTCCGAATACCAGCACTTCTCTAAGCATCTTTAGGGTTTAGGGTTTAGGGTTTAGGGTTTAGGGTTTAGGGTTTAGGGTTTAGGGTTTAGGGTTTAGGGTTACAAACGAGGCTTGGAAGCGTCTTTGCTATCACATCGTCTGAACCGCTGAGTCACATCTCAAACGGGTCTCGGGAAGCAACCCACTTTTGGTGCGCGCTCTCGCGCTCACGGAAAGTCAGGCAGTCTGAAGGCATCTAGGGCGTGCTGTTGGAGCAAGCCATTTTGCAACATGCCCTGAAGACTGGGATGGTGTGCTGTGGTAGCGTTGCTGATGGTCCTCTGCATGTCAGCGGAAGCCTCCAGTAGCAAGCGAATCACTGGCATATGGCCATTGCTCCCTGCGGCATGCAGTGGCGTGGTGCCGTTTTGCTGCGTTGCATTCGCATCCGCACGAACCTATACTGAACTTGGAACCCTAGCAAAAGTCCTAATTTTAGCTGTTTCTTAGGAATTACAGTACCCAGATAGCTATACAAAAATGTTCTCCCAGGAATCCCGAATAAGGCGCCTCGAGAAGCTGCTTCACCACCTCCAGATGTCCATTCCAGGCGGCCACGAGGAGAGGAGTCGAGCCGTCGTCGACTGGGTACTCCTTGTCTGCGCCTGATTCCAGCATTAGCCGAACGACAGCCAGGTGTCCATTCCTTGGGAACACAAAAAGCCCTAGAATTGGGGGTCATCTACCCTATACACTACTACAATCCCTATTAAGGCATATGAACCAGAAACCCTATGAGGATTTGTTTCCCCAAGGTTCTGAGCTGCGACGAAGAGCGGCGTAGTGCCATCATCCGTCGCCCTTTGGTCTGCCTTAGCCTCTAGCAGCGCGCGGGCGACCTCCAGGTGTCCATCTTCGCATGCCACAACGAGGCTGGACACCATTTCGACATTCCTGGGTTGTGCTTAAAAACCTCTTTGAAGCTCATTTTTTGAATGGGCTTCCTTATGTGGAAAGAGGGGAATGGGTTCCCTTCTGTGGAAAGAGGGAGTTTTTTATATATTCTCACAAAAACACAACCCAGCTTCACCTTGTTGACATCAGCCCTCCGTTGCAGCAGCAGCTGCACGATCTGGGGATGGCCTTGCTGAGATGCGAGGAAGAGGGAAGCCGTTCCATCGTGCATGGTCATGTCCACTTCAGCATTGCTCTCCTGGGTAGCCCAGTAAGCCTATCAGCCCTTTTTTGGGGTTGGTTGCTTTAAAGGGGAACCCTAAACCCTAAACCCTAAACCCTAAACCCTAAACCCTAAACCCTAAACCCTAAACCCTAAACCCTAAACCCTAAACCCTAAACCCTAAACCCAAAGGGTACCACTGGAATACCAAGTCTCCAGCAAGAGCTGCGCCACTTCATGATGGCCATTCCTATACTCCCCTTAGAAACCTTAATCGAAAAGTATGTTACCATCCTCTTGGGTTTTGTAACCCTAAACCCTAAACCCTAAACCCTAAACCCTAAACAAGAATTCTCAAGGGGATGTAGATTCTGGCTTGCAGCATGGAGGGCAGCAGCACCCAGTTGTGGAACCGTCTTGTTGACACCAGCCCCTGCATGAAGCAGTAGATGCACAATCTCCACATACCCATTCTGGGCCGCGATCACCAGAGGCGTCGCGCCATCACTCATGCGCCTCTCTGTGTCCGCGCCCGCTTCCAACAGGAGGCAGACTGCTTCCCGGTGGCCAGAAACAGCAGCTGCGCCAAGGGAGACCCAACCGTTCTCATCCATCTCATCTGGGTTGAGGGGCCGATCTAACAGGGCCTCCAAATCCTTCCAAGGGTCTCGGAGTTTAGGGGAACTCAAACACCCAACCCCTAGGTGCTCGGTTTTCCAGTACGCCTTCCCACGCACAATATAGGATTCTGGCAGCCCTCATGTCAACCCTACTCCCTGGACGGTAACATAAGCGGACAAAACCCTGAACTCTAAACCCTAAACCCTAAACCCGAGACCCTAAACCCTAAACCCTAAACCCTAAACCCTAAACCCTACATTCCCACGTCCTGCAAGTTGTTGTCCCTCGATGCGCACACCAGTTCCAAGGCGTCCCTCGTCGAAGCCGGGTGAAAGGTCACGACGACAAGTTGTAGCTCGGACCTTTAGGGTTTAGGGTTTAGGGTTTAGGGTTTAAGGTTTAGGGTTTAGGGTTTTGGGAGTATACTCCATAGGCCCTTGGGACATTGTTATACTACCAATTGCCTAAGAACCCCCCCCCCCAAAAGAATAAAAAACATTCTTCCTGGATATGGGTAGTTATGAGGGTAGTATAGGTGTGATTTTTGTTTTTTGGGGGTTCTTAAGCAAATAGTAGTTCTGCGTTAGGGCTTAGAGGGTTGTTTAGGGTTTAGGGTTTAGGGCTAACCTTCTGTGGTTGAGGCTTAGCGGGTTTATTTAGGGTTTAGGATTCAGGGCTAACCTTCTGTTGTTAGTGCTTTGGATTTAGGGTGTAGGGTTGAGGGCTACTTAAGACCCTAGACCCCAAGCACCAAAACCAAACCCCAAGCCCCAAACCCCAAACCCTACACCCCAAACCCTATACCCACCCTGAATCCCAAAGCCGTGAGGGGCACCTCTGTGCCAGCGCGTCCGCCGTCACAGTCTCTGGCAATAGGGCGCCGTCGTCGCAGAGCAGCCGCTGGCAAAACCGTGGCTGCCCGGACAGGTCTTGCCTGAGCTGTGCCCCAGGCCACCCAAGCCCCTGCCATTCCCGGGTTGGGTTCAGGGTTTAGGGTTTAGGGTTTAGGGTTTAGGGTTTAGGGTTTAGGGTTTAGGGTTTAGGGCTTAGGGGTTAGGGTTTAGGGTTTAGTGTTTAGGGTTTGGTTTAGGGTTTAGGGATGTAGAACTTGGGCTTATGGATGTAGCTCGAGTGTTCAGCTCACTGAAAACTAAGCCGCCAGAGTTCACCACCCCAACATCATCTCTGCAGGAGAATCTTTGGGAGATTGTGTCAAACCCCGGGGTTGTCGTTTCAAGAGTCTAAGTGGCCAAGATATTCTCCCGAAAATTCGCCCGTAAACCCTAAACCCTAAACCCTCATAAAGCCTAAACCCTCATAAACCCTGAACCCTCATAAACCCTAAACCTTCATAAACCCTAAACCCTCCTAAACCCTAAACCCTAAACCCTGAACCCTTCGGAACCCTGAGCACTAGTTTGCAGAGGAGTGCAAGCGCCGCTTCAGAACTCTGACTGGGGGCTCGCCAGTCGCATCGGCCCTGCCAGAATGGTCAAGGTTTAGGGTTTCGGGTTTAGGGTTTAGGGTTTAGGGTCTAGGGTTCAGGGATCAGGGTTTCGGGTTTAGGGTTTTCGGTTTTCGGTTTTCAGACATCCTACATGGCTGCATGTTTTGGTCATCGATTTAGTACATTGCTCTGCTAGAACTGATTAGACTGCTGATGGCATGTCTTCTTTATTCTCTAATGCCGAAACCCGCACGTTTAAACCATGAAGCCCTCCATAAGCACCCTAGAACAACTATGAGCAACCCTTGCTAAACCCTCATCCCTAAACCCCAAAAAAGTGTTCTCGGGTTGATGCTCAAAGTTTGGGGCCGAATAGCGTCTCTTGTGCATGAAGATTAAGGACCGCAAGGTCTGCGTGGGTCTCGGTAGGCATACTAAGAGACGGACGAAGAGAACGATAAGGAGAGAGAAAGAGAGAAAGGGAGAGAGAGAGGAGAGAAGAGAGAAGAGCGATCAGGGAAGATAAAGGAAAACAAGAGAGAAGATGGAATAAGCTAGAGAGAAGAGAGCAAGAGAGAAAGAGACAAGAGAAAAGAGAGAAGAGACGCAGAGAGAAGAGACTGGAGAGAAGAGAGGTGGGAGAGAGTGCGAACAGAGGAGTGGAATTGAGTGGAACGCACAGCATAGCCGTCGGCATGTGAAGATGGTGGTCGAACCACCGGATTGGTAGCTGTATCCGCTAGTTTGGTTTCCTTCACACATTGAGCCTGTTTACATGAAGACCAGACCAGGCTTTTGGAACCTTCTAACTCCCCAAAAACAGGTGAACGAACAGTGAGCACGAGTGAAGAGAGGACTTAAAGGAAATACAAGGACGCGCGTGAGTTGACTGTTTGATAGGGGCTTTGTGTGAACGAAACCTCTTTTAATAAAGGTTTTTTTTTTTTTTATATACTGCGTTTGAAGCACGCATGTATTTGCCCGTAAATGCACTAAAATGTTCTACATTAAGGGCCCATCTTCGCTGTTGCCTCGTGGAGGTAATCAGTGTACGAAAAGTGTGAACAAGAGAGCCAGCGAACGCGAGAAAACAGGATTTCACCTTTCATGCAAAAGATTTCAACTGGAAAGGTTCTCAATCATGAGCGATGTCCTGGTGCTTGTTAAAAAAGACCCAGTGATATACAGATACAGTAGTTTCCACACATGGCATAAGGGACTCAGGGTTCTGAAGAAACACGCCCCCCTAAAACCCTAAACCCTACACCCCAAACCCCTAAACCCTAAACCCCAAAACCCCAAAACCCCAAACCCTAAACCCTAAACCCAATGGGACAGGCTCCCTCGCGCCTTTGTGAGACTTCCGCCAGAGAGATGACGGCGAGCTCCACGCCGGACGTCCAGCGGATGCGCAGCATTGTCAAGAAAGAGAGGCAGGTTTAGGGTTTAGGGTTTAGGGTTTAGGGTTTAGGGTTTAGGATTTAGGGTTTAGGGCTTAGGGCTTAGGGTTTAGGAATTAGGGTTTAGGGCTGCGGGTTTAGGCTTTAGGTTCGTAGGGTCCAGGGTCTAGAGTTTGAGTTTAGGCAGACTAACGTTTTGGATTCAGAGGTCTAGGGTCCTGGGGTTTAGGGCTCTACCCCTCTGCGCCCAAGTCTAAACCCTAAGAAGAAAAGTTTCTATGACCATTGAATCATGGCTAGTACGGGCATATCCTTAGGACGGTCACCCCCCAATCGAGCTCCCATTCTTACATCGCGCCGTCTGAGGATGAATTTAGGCAGCTGGGCATATGTGAGATGCATTTGTGGAGAGCCAGGAAAGGCTGGTCCCTGTGTTGTAGACACTGCAAGGAATCTGAACCCTACCCCAAACCCCAAACCCCAAACCCCAAACCCCAAACACCAGGCTTCTGGCTCTGGGTTGGACCATTGCCTTCCTAAGAGTCCCTGCCATAATCGCCCTCCACACAAAAAAGATCCTAAATCCTAAGCCCCAAACCCTGGACCCCAACCCTAAGCCCCAAACCGCAGCCCTAACCCCTAAACCCTCATTAAACTCGGAAGCTTCCCTTTCTATACCAGGTGTAGGAAAAAAGACTTTATCACCTACTTGCCTCGGTGAGAATGCCTTTGGGGTCCCGTACTAAAATTAGTGATTGTACGTCTACTTTTATTTCGAGGGCTCCTCCTGTAAACAACCAAACAGGCTACCTACTCTGTCTTACAAGTCAAAGCTAGACAGCCCAACCCCCCCCCCCCGGGGCACCGTCTCTGCTGAACAAGTCCCAACACGCTAAACCCTACACCCTAAACCCTACACCCTAAACCCTGCACCCTGAACCCTAAACCCTACACCCTAAACCCGACACCCTAAACCCTACACTACACCCTACGCCCTAAACCCTAAACCCCAAACCCTAAACCCTGAACTGACCGTCTGATGCTTGAAGCAGAGTGACGGTGGGTTGTGCTTTTCTGAAAGGCATGCCTCGCCAGCAACTCGTATGGGGCAGAATGGGTTAGGGGCTTGGGGTTTAGGGTTTAGGGTTTAGGGTTCAGGGTTTAGGGTTAGGAACTAGGGTTAACCCTAAATCCTGTAAACCTTGGGCCATTTGGAGATAAGGTTTAACGAGCGGGAAGGGGTGGATGGAGGCTTCCGGAGCTTGAGCTTCATGGTCTAAGCCCTTCGAAGAGGTGACGAGGTGCAACCCGAAGCATTAAGCCCTAACCCTGCACGCATAGTAGCCCCGAGGCGAAAAGGCCTCCGAGTTGAGCTTTGCAAAAACCCTGAGAAGTCAACCGTTCAACGTGAAACCCGATGTGAACACGTATCGGAAAACGCAGGGGCCGAAAACTATTTGTCAACTAATAATCCTACCTCTGAAACCCAAAACCTGAACCCCTAACCGTAAACACAACACCCTGCACTCTAAACTCTAAACCCTAAACCCGGAACCCTGGGCCCCCCCAACCCCATGAGTTCCCCTCCTACCCCCCCCCCCCCCCCCCCCCCCCTCTACACTACCTCCCTGGGTTTCTCCCTTAAATAACCTCAATGACCTTTATTGTGGGGCGGAACCTAGGGGGGTTAGTATCCCTAAACCCTGAACCCTAGGCGGGGGGGGGGGGGGGGGGTTATTGTGGGGCGGAACGGGTAGTATCCCTAACCCTAAACCCTAGGCTAGGGGGGGGGGGGGGGCGGGGTGGAGGGGAGTTTTGGCTGTTTTGAGGGGGGGTAACCCTAAACCCTAAACCCTAAACCCTAAACCCTAAACCCTAAACCCTAAACCCTAAACCCTAAACCCTAAACCCTAAACCCTAAACCCCCCCATCTGCTTGCATGACCAGCAGCTGCGTCTTAAGCTCCGCGAGGGACCGGAAGGAGATCATCGCCCGCTGCTCTTCCTCAGCAGCTTTGAGAACGAAGGCCCAAAAGACCAGTGTAGGGTTTAGGGTTTAGGGTTTAGGGCTTAGGGTTTAGGGTTTAGGGTTTAGGGTTTAAGGTTTTGGGTTTAGGGTTTAAGGTTTAGGGTTTAGGGTTTAGGGAGGAAGAGTTTTGGTGTTGCGTGTCGAACGCGGAATGATGGCGCCCATTGTTGTTAGGGTTTAGGGTTAGGGTTCCGGGGCGGAGGAAGAGTCTTGGGGTTCATGTAAACCCCCTCAAGTTTTAGGGTTTAGGGTGAAGGGCTGAGGGCTTAGAGCTTTTTCGCTGTGAGCGTAGGGCTTCAGTGTTTATAGGCTTTAAGGACCCTCCAGATTGCCCCACTCCGCCAGGAATCCTGAACCATTGGCTCGAAAACCCTTCTCCTGGAATCTCTCAAGTATCCTTGGAAGACCCGAGAGCCTTCAAGCTTCAAGGAACGCACCCTGGCCCCGAAACCCTAAGCTTTAAACTCCCCAAAACGGATAACCACAT